AAAGAGTGTGATTGTTAAAACAACAATAAATGGAAAAAAAAAAATGTTAGAAATATGCTTCAAATGATATTTCAACCTCATTTTTTTTTTCTAGTTAAGAAATGCTTTTTTTGTCAACCCGAGTATTGTATAATACGTAGGCCACAATATATTTAGGATATTATGAGTTACTTCCCTTATGTTGTTAACATAATATATGTTAAAAGAGTAATATTATACATTAAATTTTCAATGCATGAGATAAGAGGAGTGATAATCTAATAAAAGTATTATAGAAAACTGAAACGAAATAATATATATTTACTAGTTAGAACTTATATACATACAACTCTTACGTTTACTACAATAAATTAAATGAAAAGATAATGGTAGAAGAAAAAGTTTGAAAATTTAAGCGATCTAGATCTCATGGGAAGAGTCTGAGCTAGAAAGCTGGAGGAGTTAGCTAGTGTCGTTTAGTGTCGCATTGTTGAGAAAGTATGCGAGGGGTTTTGGCGAATGAATCCAACTTGAGTTTGCATGTAACGTGGAATTTCATTGTCCCACTACGCAACAAGCCCAAATTCATTCGCGCTTGGAAGTGAATGGCTAAGGAGAAGGTGAGAGAGAGGTTTTTGGCGCTTTCCATGAGGTCCTTAGATGCGTTTAAAGTGACATTAAACGACGTGGTATCATGCGGGTCTTGATGTAAAGTTGGGTAGGGTCCGGAAGCAATCTGGCGTTGCCTTAAAGAGAGGGAGACAGTACCTTTATCTTTATAAAGAATGCCGACATTTGAATTTGAATTGTGGAGTTGAAAAGTGACGTCGTATTTAGGGTGGGGTTTGGCTTGTAGGAGGTTAAAGCGAAGGATGGAGAATTTAGGGTCCTTGGGTGAGAGTAACATGGAAAAAAGACCACCAAAAATGGCTCCAAGAAGAATGAAAAGGGCAAAGAATATGATGAAGAACAATATGAAGAACCAGCAACAACGTGACCTTTTGGGGTCCTTGGGAGGAGAGTTTTTATGGGTCTGGGCGATGTGGGCATTTTCAGGGGGTGGAACACGGTACACTTGGTCCTTAGGGACCTGGACAACGTAGGTGCCAGGGTTGTCCGGTAACTGCTTCTTGCGGGTGTCTTCTTGATGTGGCGGTGGTAACAACTCCCGCTCCTCCATGAGAGTATGAGGAGCGGTGGGGAGGTTATTAGAGAGGTGGAATGAGGCGTGCTTTGCATGGCCATGGGGACGTGCCTCAAAGTATAACGAGCGATTGGGAGACAAACTGCTACCAATCTTTTCGTTCGCTTCCTCCCAATATTAGCCAATTATTGCAATCCACCTCACCTTCTTGCACTTTCTAATCAAAGACACAAACGAATCACATTTAGGAGCAGTTTACATATTGAAGGGGGAAAAACACAGCTTCACATTGAACAAAAGCCAAAATTCCCAAATTGGAGAAATGTCTCTTAATATTGCCAATGTTGTGTCCTCGGCTTTATTTATAGGATTGGAGTATAATGGGCTTATGTCCACCCTAAGTACAGTTTTGTCTGATGGACAGTAAGTGATGTATGGACTACGTATTTTGCAACCACAGATGAGGATAAAGCCCAATTTAAGAGTCGGCCCAACGACAATGAGTATCAACTACCAATCCTAAATTTTATTTACAACATTTTATTGCATAATATATTACATAAAATCGAGGGTTTTTTTTTTTTTGGTATTGGAATGAAAAATAAAAAGAAGAAACTAACAAAAATACAAAAAAAACTTAGCCTCTATGAAACACAGTTCCCAGAGAGTCATTTAGTAACAAACTAGAAAGAATCATAGGATGCTCTTGTAAAATAACTAGCCTATCATTTTCTAAAGCTCCCATTCGAGCCAGAGCATCTGCGCAACTATTACCCTCATGTAAAGTGTGAACAACAGTGCAAGTCCAATCATAATTGAGCAATTGATGAATGAGCTGATTTCCGCAGCAATGAAACATTGGAATAGGTCCCTATAAGAGAGATACCACCAAAGTAGAGTCTTAATAACAAACAATCTTTCGAAACCCTTTATCCCAACAAAGACGAAGGCCGTGGAGAAGAGCTAAGATCTCTGTTTGAAGAAAAGAAGCCTCCCCCAAAAAGCCATAAAAGCCAAAAAGGAACTATCCTTCATGGTCCCGACACAAGCCACCAAAGCCACCTCTACCAGGCATGCCAATCCTACTCCCATCCACATTCAGAGCCACTAAATCCACTAAGGGGTGAATCCAATGTACCAAACGGGGTAGAGGCCGATGCGAGCAGTCAATATTTGTAAAAGCAGAAACAGAGAATTGAAGTAAAGCATTTGCTTGAGCTAGAATAGATGTTAAGTTCCAATCCACCTGATCAAAGATGAGTCAGTTCCTATGGCACCAGATAAACCACATGATAATTATTAACAAAGCTCCATGCGTCTGCACCCGCTTCTCAAGCCAACTACGATGTTGCTCATCAAGAGTAGGTGTTGAAAAATCGCAACCAGATCGCTTCCACACCTCCTGCACCATTGGACAAGTAAAGAAACAATGCTCAAAGCTTTCAACGGCAGAGTTACACTTAGGGCAGGTATTAGAAGCCAAGATGCCACATTGACAAAGAACCTCCTTAACAGGTAGAGCTAGATGACAACTCTACCAAAGAAAGAAACACAAACTAGCTGGAAGTGGCAACTTCCAAATCCAATTCCAACCTGCAGAGGTTTCCAACCCATGATCCTTTGTTAGCCACCTGTAAGTTGATCGTACCATGTACTTCCCAGAGATATCAGGTGCCCAAGTCCACAAGTTTGGCACACCTACGACAAGATGCGGAGTTAAACAAGATATCTTGAGACGAAGAGCCTCAAACAAAGGTGTGTAAAGCTGGTCTAGCCTCCATGAGGTGCCATCCCAAGTATCTTTGACTCGCAACCCAGAATCGTGAATATCCACCCACGGGACAGACGTTGCTAGTGGTTCCTTACCCACCCATACATCCTTCCAAACATCGATCTCTCCATTGCCCAACTTGAGAACTAGACCGTCTTCCAAAAGAGCCAACGCTTGAATGATGGCCCTCCAAGTTGGTGAACCTGACTTCTTCCTGGATAAGAAGAGTGAGTCTTGCAGGAGATATTTGTCCTTGAGTACCGAAACCCATAGTTGATTCGTTGGGCGTAGTAGATCCCAAACTAGCTTCCCTAACAATGCAGTATTTTGGTTTCGAGCGGTGCGAATCCCCAACCCACAACAATTCTTTGGTCGAGTGAGCTTGTCCCATCCTACCATGTGTGGGCCTTTACCTTCCCTACTATACCAGTTAAAAGAACGCACTGACTTGTCAATAAAATCACAAATGTATTGAGGATACCAGTATAATTTCATGCCATAGGAAGGTAATGCCGTGAGAACTGCATTGGCGAGAGTAACCCTCCCTGCCTTGTTTAACAATGCACTCTTCCAGCCAGTCAACTTTGAGTTCACCCTTTCAATGAGTTCCATAAAAACTCAGCAATGGATCCGACCTTGAAACATAGGAAACCCCAGGTAATTTTCAATCCTAGAGGTGAAACGGATTTGAGTAACAGTGGTAATTGCTTCCTTTCATTGACTTGTCAAACCCTTCGAAGCCAATGCTCGGGATTTTTGAATGCTAATCTTTAAACCAGACATATGACAAAAGCTCTCCAAAACTCTATTGATAGTGATAGCCTGCTCTTTTTTTGCTTTAGCAAACAGCAAGACATCATCCGCAAAAAAGATATGGGACAATTTTGGGCCATGTTTGGTTAATTGGATGGGTTTCCAAGTGCCCTCTTCCACTTCCCGCTGAATCATAATGCCAAGGTGCTCCATACAAAGAACGAAGAGATAGGCTGAGACAGGGTCGCCTTGGCGGAGTCCTCTGATAGGTTTGAACCCATCCAATTTGTTGCCATTCCAAAGTAGAGACAAACTAGTAGAGGTAAGGCCATGCATGATTAGTGAAACAATTCGTTCCGGAAACCAATATAACGTTCAAGGAAATCCCAGTCAAGCCTATCATAAGCTTTCTCCAAGTCAAGCTTGAGTAGGGAAGTCACCAGTTTTGCTCTTTGATTTGTGCATGTGATGAACAACCTCTTGAAGAACTATAACATTATCTTTTGTGCTTCTTCATGAAATAAAGCTACTCTGCCACGGATGAATAATGGAGTCAAAGTAGGGACGTAATCTACTCCCTAGAACCTTAGACATTAGTTTGTAAATTACATTGCAAAGGCTGGTTGGGCGAAAGTCTTTGAAAGTGTGTTGACTCTCGCCGTTAGGAATGAGAACCAATAAGGTGTCAGAGATACTAGTCGGAAAGTTGCCAGTGAAAAAAGCCTTTACGACAAAACTATGTACTATAAATAAAAAAATAAAATAAAAAAATTACCCCCTATCTAATAGGTAACCGCTCATCTAATACGTCATTAATATAAAATACAAATATTATAAATAAATAGATACAATACATATATAGAAAAACTTTTATTTTTTATCTTTTACTCTAATTAATCATTCATTAACTTAAATATGAGAGTCTCTTTACAAGGATTTCTCCATTGAAGCATCCAATCTATCAAGTAGAGGAGATTCAATGATTTCATCGAAGAAGGCTAGCATCAAACCATTCCAAGTAAGAACAATACACATTTTCAATAAAGACCTAAAGTAGTATAATAAAAGTTTGTCTTTTCTTATGTTTAATAAAAGATACTTTCATGTCCAAATATACGATTAAAAAAAATATTTTTAGTTCTTATACTTTTATATTAATGAATTTATTTCAAAGTAAATTTTGTAAAGACATACATTTAATCTTTTTTTATATATATAAAAATTCATCGTGTTTTAAATTTGCATTTCGTTTAATACTGGTGACAAAATCATACTTATTAAACTAAGACCAAAACTAAATATAAATTTCTTAACTGGAAAGAGTAAACTCTCACTATAATTTTTACTTTTTCATTTTATAAAATTTTTATTCTATTTTTTATCTTATAAAATGTTATGCACTTTATTCTTTTTAGTTTTTCCCATATGATTTCACTAATATTAAGAATTAAAGTAAACCATATTTTACAAATTAAAAGTTAAAGAAATTCATACACTCAAGGCCTAAAGTGAATTTTTATTTAATAACAAAATCAATCTAGCAGCAGGGCAACTTCAAACCTGGCCATTTGTTTATCTTCTAAAACAAGTTTACTTATTTTGATAATTTTTTACAATTAAAACTATAAAAAATATTATTATATACTTTTGATTGAAATTTCTTTTTTCGAACTATTTAGCTATATTGAATTAATATTCATGTGGTAGCTCATCCTAATGACTAGGCAATACGGGTTAATTTATGTTATATTTTAAATTTGTCTTAAAAAGTCAAACTTTCATGTAAGTGTAAGAATTTTTTATCCTTAGTTAACATGGCTAGCATGAGAATTTTTTTATCATCAACTTTGTCAATAATTATTTTTGTTAAAAACTTTGAAATTTTGTTCAAGATAATCAAATTTAGTACCATTTCGACTCACAATTAAAATCCAATTAAATCACTTGAAATTATTTGAATTTGAATATCCATGCAACTATAAATACATGAATTAAATAACTTGATCAATAATCTTAAATTCGAATCCTTAGTACCTAGAATTTAATAAACTTTTTAACTGTTTTTGCTAAACATAATCTAAAACACCATTGACATGTATTGTATAGATGATCCACAATAAATTATGTAATTTTATGTAAATTTCTCAACAAATTTACAATGTTCACCGGTGAATCGCTTATATGCGATGTTGTTAGTATTTAGCTTCTCTTTTTTTTTTTTTTACAACTCATAGTAAATTTAACAAGCTCATGGTCTGAGATAAGATACAATCAAAAGGTAATTCTCTTAAGATCAAATAAATTCCAGTTTAAAATTCATGATCCTATATAGGATGGAATTATCCTTATCTTGGCAGAGTGATAAATTGTAATACTTTCTCTAATGTATTTATTGGCCTGTTGGCTGCATCGTAGTCAACAAGTGGATGTCATATCGATTAAAGAATACATATATTATGTGCCAAAAGAATCAAAGGTGAGCAAATTGCAATTATGATTTTCTTTTTTCTGAATGACATACGCTTAATTAAATGTCCTTATTAACGCTATCTTCTTATCCCTAGACTTGATTGTGCAGTGGTTCTGCTTTACTGATAAAAAATTTTTGGGGGTCGGATAACTCACTCGCCAAGTTTCTGTGAAAGTGGAAAGACAAAGATATTCAGTTCTTATAATTAAAGAATGTAATCGTTGGAGTGTTTCGTGGGTGTTTCCCCCATTTCTAAAGTACTATACTTCGGTTTGAAAATAAAATAAAATACATATATTGCAACCGATGCCAAACGAGAG